GCATTGGAAGATGCCATTGGCTCAGAGTTTCACAACGACTCCACGGAGGCAGAACTTGAATTAGCAAGAAATTGAACTTTTCCTTGTTTGGCATGTACCTGGACTCAAGAGTTGCAAGCTCTCGTAGCATCCGTGGATTCCTTTGAACTGCTTTGTGGCGCAATAGTCATTCCTCTTCATTCCTCAAGCTCTTGACGTGACGACTTCCACAAAGCACCAAAAGGCCATAAATTCCAATCCAACAGTAGTGCCATGCTGGCTGGCATGGTCCGCAGATGGTCAAGGCAACTGGGGACAGTCCTTACTTGCGAGTATTTAGGGTCGATCGAAAGGGACCGAGTTTCATGTCCAGACAACTGGTCTAGACCCCATTTCACCAACCATGAGCGTCCTCGACATTTGGAGAACGATTCGCAGCGAAGAAAAATGCCGCGGAATTCGCCGCTTTTCCAAGTTGACCCATTGTCCTGCAAAACTCACCCCTTAGAGGAGAATCGGCGCTGAGTGGCACTGAATCAGAACTAATTAAAACGGAGAAGCTGCACCGACAAAGGGGTCTGCCTGGGCTCAACAACAGAAGTGCATAGTATGAAACCAAGCGGCATGTTCAACTGAAGACTGTGCAGCTCCCTTTCACTCTCAGTTTCCTTCCTTTGGAAGTGGAACCAATTGTCCGGGCAAATCTGTCAAAGCATAAAAGCGATGAGCTGCATTGGACTGGTACTGAAACACTACCGTCAAACTTTGGCTCTTGATTTGCCCCCTTTCAAACACTGGTTTTCGCGCTCATCTACAGTATTCTGCAAACAACAAAGCAACCATGCTGAAACAGCAACGTGACACGTGAGAAACGCAAAGACCGAGAGAAAGGGGAAAACGTGCCAGCTTGCAGCGGGCACAGCATATTTTCGGAGGCATCTTCCGAAGAGCAAACAGCATTCTCAAGCGGGGCAGTCGAATCACGCATCAAAACAATGCTGTGAAACGATACCAGGACAAGATGTCATGTTCATCAGGATCATCATCCAGTCCGAAATGTCTCGTGTGGAACAACGCCAATGTGCCAAGCACAGCTTGGTTCAAAAGTCAGGACCCGCACTCCATCAGACTCAAACAAAAGGTAAACAGTGCTGGGTGAGTCAATAAACACGGTGTGACAACTACTTCAAACCAGTTCCACAGAATGGATGGAGCAAGACTTACCTTCACAGAGAAGGAGTCTATCAGAAATAGCCTCAGCGCATGGCAGTGGTGCAAGCTCCATGTACATTGTGGGATACAAATATCTTAGTGAAACTCACCATTTCAACTCTCCCTTGAATCATGGATGTTTGTGCTGGTGGGAACATTCCTTTTGCTTGTGTGTGTGATCCAACATCTATATTAATGGACACTGGCTGTATCTAGATAGACTCTACCTGCTCCCATTTATCTGGGCCTGGGATTGAAGGGGGTGGGTTTCCTGGTTTTTCTTCATGTTCCAGGACATGAAAGCTTCACATCTTAAAGCTTCACATGTGCCAGTTGAAAAACCTGAACCTAGTGACCTTCAGAATCCTTCCGACCCTTCTCCTTTCTTTCTGAGACCCGGACCCCACATGCCGTGCTTGGCACCGGAGAGGCTGTGCACTAAATGCATACCTCGTCACTCTGTGCACACGTTAGGAGCAGCACAGCATGCACATGCTCTTCCATGACTTGGATTCCAAGTGGTGAAAATCTCTGACTCATCTACTTCCCAACTGTTTACTTGATCGAGTTCTGCAGTGTTCCCTCGACGTGGTGCCGATGGTCTCCGATGGAATTGGAGTCTCGATGAATTCCAAACGATTCGGTCTTCAGGGATAGCACGACCGAGCCCCTGCGAAAGCCAGTTGGCCTGCGGCTGCTCGCCTATCAGCTACACCCTCGGCCGAAATGAATTCGGGCAAAGGACTTTGTTCCTCGCCGAAATGAATTGGCCTGAACCAGTCGGTGACATAGGTGACGGCAATAATTAAGCAATTGTGATGACATCAGCATCCCCAAGCAAAGGTTTGACTACAGTGCGGTTACCCTGAGCAAGGTGCTGCCGATATTTGCGTTCCATGCTTGCGGGACTGTCTGTTGACTGAGACACCGCAATTCGCTTGACTCCTTCTGCAAGTTGGTTCCGGAAGCTCAAGGGCGACACGTGACTCGGGTTGTCTCTGGTCACGTGGCGGTGTGCCAGTGATGCTCCCAGCGTAGTGACAGTAAGGAATGCAACTATGCCCTGCATGACAAATGGAGCTGCCGAACCGTACACCTCAAGCTCATCTCCCAGGTATCCCCCCAGCATAGCAAATCCGCAGCCCAAGGTTTCTGAAACGCCCATGAGCCTCTCAGCGCCTTTAGTGTCCAAGACACCTGACAGATACTCCAGCATGAGGACTTGTGCCATGTTGATGGACAGTGTGAAGGAGAGGATACTCATCACAAAGACCGAATATCCATCGGCAGCGTGCATGGCAGAGAAGGCTGCACATATCCAAGACACAAGGACAAAGAGAAAACACATCACGATGTTCAAAGGACTCCTGTGCAAGAATGCGCAAGGCACGCTGGGCAACACCGCCAAAAAGAGCATGGAGATTGCATTGAAGCTTCCCAAAGTAGGGCCCACTTCCCCAACTGACATATTGAAGGTGGTTGTCAGTGTTTGTGGGATGGCAGCGTTGCCAATGTTGTACTGCAACTCTGTGAAAATGAAGGCCGATCCCACTATCCAATCAATCCATGATATGTCCAGATGTCCCTCCTCGTGCTTGTCTCTCCTGGATTCTGGTTGTTGGCGCCCGACTAGACTAGACAGTAGTATATACAATAGCGCTGCACTGCAAGCACCGCAGCAAACGGCCGGCCAGCCAAAGCGCTGGTAGAGAAGGGCCGGTACGATCATTGCAGCAATGCTGCCACAGTTTCTTGCAGCGCCACACTGTTTTGAAGTGGTGGCCAACATTTCAGGATCATCCTGGAAGGCTGTTTGCACATGCAGTCAAGCAGGCTCGGACAAATCCCATGCCTGAACAGAGGGCCATGACGCAGAATGCCCAGACTTTGGTCGGATAGGCAAGCGAGGTGATATAACCCGACGTCACGCTGGCCATCATGAAGAATTCAATCTGTACGCCCCATCTGGTGACCAAGAGATTGGGAAGAAATCGTGCTCCGAGATTCAAAGCATAGACGGCTCCCAAGAACTTCACCCCAAGGTCTCTGTCCTTCACGTACGCCACTGATGGAACCCACAAGTAATCAGCCAAGAAACTGAAACACCACGACATACCAATGAGGCAAATCTGGTGAACACGTCCCATGCTTGCGGCTAATGGTCATCACTTGAGTTCAACAAATGGCTTGATAAATGATCATGTCCGATGGGATCAAAGCGATTGATTCACTCTCATCCTAGTTTCGAAGCTGCAAAAAGAGCATGTCTTTGTGCGCACGGAAACGTGGCTTCTTGGGTGGCTTCCCGCAAGTTGGAGGCCTCAGAAAAGTTGGATGGCGAAGCTGATCAAGAGTTTGGTTCTTAAGGCTTTGCGCATCTTCCTGTTTCAATCTTGGACCTTCATTGGCACTACGTACTGCATGCTCCCGTTCTCCCGAGCTAATCTGCCCAGCTCAGCGCGCAGCAGGTTGCAATCAAGGTTTTTACTTTAACTACTTCTTGGGAATATGCAGTGCGGCACACGCCCGCCCATCTCACCCAATGGCTTCACACCATCGGCCATCCCTTTCAGTTGGAGATCGCCGTTGTCAAGGGCTTCTTTCAACAATACGCTGTTCTGTTGGTGAACAGAAATAAGCATTATAAAAAAAACTCACACTTTTCCGGGCAACCCACCGACTGAATACCGGGAACGTCTCCCAAGCTTCCAGAACCTATGTCCATCTCATTCAGTGCTTGGAACCTTTTTTGGAGCCTATCAGGAGCCCGAAGGGCTTGAATCTCAAGACCCTGGGACATGCGCACTTGAAATGCCCCCACCAAGGCCTATGTGCAGGGCCTCCCCAAAACCTATGTACGCATGTATGTGAAGCCCGCCCAAACATGCGTGCTGGGGTGAAGGAAATGATCTGAGACGTGTCTATATCGACATGTCCAGGACTCCAACGGTGGTGGTGTCTTCGGCTTTGCTTTGGCCTTTGGAGCCTCCTGGACAGCTTGGCTTTGAAGTTTGCCCAAGTCAACCGCCGCTTCTTGCTTACTGTGCCTACCAGCACCACAAACATTAACGCTCCTTCGCCATGTCCTTGTTCTTCATTGGCCTGCGTGGCCCTAATCGTGGCCCAGCCTGGCTGAGCTGAAAGTGTGATAAACAAATAATAGAACTTCTAGGTCCTAGGTTAGAGGCCATCCCTATTAGGTTGGAGGCATCGCTATTAGGCTGGAGGCCATCGCTACCAGGGGGACAATCGCTACCAGGTTGGAGGCCATTGCTATTAGGTTCGAGGCCATCGCTATTAGGCTGGAGGCCATCGCTACTGGGTTGGAGGCC